ACTACCGCAGTTATTACAGAACAGCCGCTTCTTCCGGCGAGCCTTTTCCACCGTTCCCTCTGACTGGTGGGCTTTCAAGTTCTTTCGCAAAGCCTGATCCAGCTTTTTAATCGTCCTTTGCAACGATTCTGTCGACCCTTCATCGGAGTCGTCCCCGTCCGCCATATAGGCGCGGCTCCTTCGTTTTTGGTAAGCCTTGGCTCGACGCAGCCAATCCTCTCGGCGGATGCTACGTTCCACCACATCGGATAGGGAAGCGTCATCATCGATGTGGGAGCCCACGAATTCCGAGATGTTCTGGGGTAACCCGTCCAGATACACATCGATATACTCAGCATTGGACACGGAGTGTTTAGTGCTCTGCCGAATTCGGCGTCGGAGTGCGAAGAGCGCGTCAGCGTAGTCCTGCACCCGCTCGTCCTTTCGCATTCTCCGATCTCGGAATTGTCGCAGCATTTCGCGGGCACTTCCCAGAAACCTCTTTCAGAACTTAGCCAGAAACTTCTTCCAAGTCAGCCGATGGCGTGTCACGGTAAGCTCGGAGGAGTCCGCCTTACCCTCCTGGGGTTCTGCATATTTGGCGAGGAGCTCTTCTGCCCAAAGACCAGCACGCCCTACTAGATGGGCAACGGCGCGATTCACGCGGGTGTTGTGGGGCCATTGCTGGGTATCAGCTGCCCGAACGAGTTGGCTGAGCCATCCGGCTGCCTCAGAGCGGGCCAGGCCATCGAATTTGTTGAGCCGAGGAGCCCGATAGTCTTTGTCACGGCCATAATCTTGTTGGGGACGGTTACGCCGCCTAGAGTCACGACATTCCTCCCCACTCGAGCTGCTGCTTCTCGAGTCTGTGGAGCTATCACGCAACCTGGATCGGCTGGAGCTTTCCTCGGAAGAGGAGGATGCTTCTCTGCGCCGTCGCTGGTCCCGCCCACGCTTCTTCTGCGGGGAATTCCGTCGTTTGGCGGAACGGGGCCTCGATTTCCCAGATCGGCTTCGTGGCCGATTACCGTGTTTTCGTGGGCTATGGCTCCGTTTCCTTGGGGAACGAGTCCGCTCCCTCCCCCTGTCCCGTTTTGGAGATATTTTCGTACCTTCTCGCCTACGTGGCGAAGAGTGCCGTCGGGGGGTACGGCTGTCCGACACCTTGTGCGACTGTTTCTTTCGGCGACGGGAATGTGACCTCCGTCTGTCGCTATCCGACTCACTGCTGGAGTCGCTACTAGGTGACCGGTCATGCTTGGCATGTCGCCGGTCCTTAGTTCGGCGTCCCTTCCGGGAACGGGAGCGCTGCCCTTTTTTCGTTTCCGAGGGTGAAGGAACCATCTCCGGCGGGTCTCGCCGTGGAGACCGCCGCCTGGATGGGGGGGCTCCCTGGGAAATCTCCCTACCTCGAGGTTCCCTGTCATTGCTATGCCCCGGGCGGCCATTGGGCCTCTGCCTTACATACCGGGGATCCTCATTCTCATCGTTTTCCCTCGACTCCTGGAGTTCCAGTAAGCCTGGGGATGGCATAGCCATTCGGCCTTCCGCCGAGTGGGCGCGGGGTCGCCCAGCGCGCTCCTCGCGGGCTCGTTCCTCCCGCGCGCGTTCTTCCAAAAGACGTCGGTAAGCACCCGAGCGTCCTGGTGGGGGAGATTGAAGGGAACTCCCTGACCCATTCGCTGTGGGAGGGCGGTGTCCCTCCCTTTCATCATGAATCACAAAGGCGGCATCGCCGCTTCCAATCACCGTCAAAGGGGCCCTATCGCGAGCCACTGGAGCATCAAGAACAGGAATATCGTCCCCGCGCCATTCCGGGGTCCCCCTGCCATCAGAGGAAACTGGACTTCCGTCACGCGCCATTCCTTTGATCGCTCCTTACCTTCACCTTTCCTTACCGTTCGCACAGCACCCAGCGGAGTCCCGCCTCGGGAAACCGCCCTGCGCTCCGAAACCAAGCCTCGAACCACCGCAGAAATGGCGTCCCAATGGCGAATCTTCCAGCAATGAGCCGGTCACGCACGAATTGAGACGCTCGCCCGTCCGAGCTAAACTCGACGGCGAAGTGCACCCACAATGGGCGTCTGTCAGCGCGGCATGTTCTCCACTCAGCGGGGTACAATCCCCGAAAGATACACACACACAACAGCGAGGTGGGCCCAAGGTTCGCAGTTGTTCGTTACAAGAGAGGCCGTGTGTCCTTAAATACCCAAGCCGCTGGTGCGGCACCGTTACCCAGGGTTCCCTGAAAGGTCCCCTCAAATCCGTACAAGGTACGAATGTACCTTTTACCCAGGGTAAACTTCCCACGCTTCAAGGTACTGGACGCTCCGGTCTAAGTACTAATCTGCGTTACCCAGGGTATCCTTTCCCTCCGGAAGCCGCGGGGTGCGTTACCCGGGGTCCCTAACCCGTGGCTGCCTTACCCATGGTATCCTTACCCGTCCTAAGTCACCGGCTGCCTTACCCATGGTACCCTTACCCTGCCTAAGTCACCGGCTGCCTTACCCATGGTACCCTTACCCTGCCAAAGTCACCGGCTGCCTTACCCAAGGTATTCTTACCCTGCCTAAGCTACGGGGATCGCCTTTGCCGCCCAGAACTCTACCATACCCGTCAATTACCCAAGGCATTCGGCCCGATTCTCCTTGCTGAGGCGCAGCTCGCAGTGTGACTCACTCTCCAGCCTTCCCTCCGTCAGATCCAAAGTTGGGCCCGCTCTTCATTGGGTCAGCTCGTCCTCCTGACACTCCACAGCGATTGTACAAGGCGGCACGTCATCACCTCTCCAGCATAGGCTCACAGGGTCGTCGTTTGTCATCCAGCCTTCCGGTTCAGGGATGTTCGGCAGCAGTATCCTTCATGGGTTTTCCTCACAGGGCAGCACGCATCATTGGCACGGTTGCTTCATCGTCGTACGGGCAGGGCACAACCTACAGCCTTCACAACCAACTACAACACATTCCAATACGCACAGACTTTCCTATAATTCAGTTATCATATCGCAATCGATCCTCAAGGTACATGGTTCAGGCGGGGTACTCAGAAAATCGCCACACCACCCCTCGATCCTGCCTACCTTCGTCAGTAACATTCCAGCGCCCCACCCCCACAAAAGCCCCCCCGTGGACGCGGCACCTTGCCCCACACTCTTCGCTTAAACATGGCCCCCCCACTTCATTACCCATTTTAAGGTGTGCAGGCCACCACGGCCCAGACCAGCCCACCCGCCCTGCAGTGCGCAGTAGCGCCAGCCTGCGCGACGCCGGCGGCGCCCAGGACCGCCCCCGGCGGCCGCGCGGGCCGCCCCGCCGGCGCCGGCCGCATGTCGGCCGCCGGCGCCGGCAAGCGCCCGCCCACGCTGTCCGGCAACCTCATCCTGCGTCGCGTGATCAACGCGGTCGTCAAGCTCGCGGTTGCCGCCTACCTGCTGGCCTACCTGCTGTCCTGTGAGTGCCCCCATCTTCCAGTCTTTAGGGGATTGGTAATTTCCCCCCGTCGACCTTATGGCCTTTCCCTTGCTTATATTTGGCTTCAAGGGGAAGAAAATCGGGGGACGGGAGGGAAAGGGGGGCAAAGGGGGGAAATATGGAGAACGCCATTTCTCATGAAGAAGTGGTCAACATGAATGGGCTGTGAATGGGTGGTGGTCAGCATGAATGAACGACTCTATTCGATGCATAGGAGACGGTTTTTCGTCTCTTGTGCACAAAGTAAAGCGGGGGATGGCCCTGAGCCGCGGGAGTTTGGGGTGCCTGCCCGCAGTCACGAGCGCCAGCCCGCTGTGGAATCTGCCCGCGGCGATCCTTGCCGTGGCGGCGTTCCGATGGATGTCCAGCCGCGTGGTGGTGCGCCCGGGGGCCCGTGGCGCCGGGGGGGCCGATGCGCGGCGCAGGAGGCAGAGGCGGTTCGGAGGATCGGCGTGGCACGCGCAGAAGCCGGCGGGCGGGGTGGACAGGGACGCGTGGAGGCGGGGCGTGAACGCGCCGATCGTGGCGAGCGCGTGGGACGCGCTGTGCGGCAGCATCATTCAGGAGGTGAGATTTTTTAGAAAAGGAATGATCAACAGGTCATGCACAGCGCACCCCATCCTGAGCAAGTGTGCGCGAAAGCGTTTGACATCCTGTGAAACATGATGTGTGGTCTTCGGTGCAAAGGTATGAGCACGCAATACTGAAAGGCAGGTTGGGGGATCATCGAGCGGGTGTGCATGAGGCGTGGCTTGTGCTGCGGAAGCAGTTAGTTTCGCAAGCGCGCAGCACTTTTTCTTTCTGAAGTGGCTGTCTTGACAGTGGTTTGGCTTTTGGGTGCTGGAAAAATGGGGAGTAAATGGGTTTCTGCGCCAATCGAGGTTTGGCAGGCGCTGGCTGTTGGGCAGAACTCCTTGGCTGGGTTGGGAAGGGCGAAACAGCACCTCACCACATGTGGGGCAGTGATGAGCGCTCACATGTCCGAAGTGCTCAGTCCCCAGTTGTCCATTTAGAGTGGTTGCTGCGTTCCACACGTTAAGACCCTGCAAAAGCACTGGCAGGAGCTGGCTGCAGCACGCGGCTTCTTCAATCGTTCCCCAGTGTCCTGGGCGATCTAGTTTCATGCTTTGCGTGCAAGTGCCATCTGTCACACTGTGGTGAGCACTGCTTGCAGCTGCTCACACTCACGTGAGACATTCCAATCAGGAGTGAATTACCCTCACACTCTAGATGAACCAAACTAGCTCAGACTAACTCTCAAGCGCTCAAGCAAGTTTGGTTCAATGCGAAAATGTTTGGTGTTCACACCAGAACGAAAAGGAACAATCACTTACTGGCTGGTGGCACTCTTGTTTTAGCACTCTCATCTCTCCATATGAGTCTGTACGTAATATTACATCACATTTAGGTGTCCAGGTGCAACCCTCATCCCAGCTCTTGCAGTGTCTGAGCTGCCAGACGTAACATGCCTTGTGGATACCTTTTTTTGTTTGCTTTTTTAAAAATGATAAAAAGGAGAAAAAGGTTAAAAGAGAAATCAGCCAACACCAACGCAGCTCTTCTTGTTGCACGCCAATGTCACACCCCAAAATAAAATGGTCAAATCATTAAAGTCAAATCTGTTAAAATAGCACTGTCTCGATCTGTCACACATGTTGTGTTGCACAAGTGAATGAGCCTGGACTGAAGTTATGTGCTGTGTGCATCTTGACTCGCAGTTCGTGTATGACACATGGTACATGTCTCTCACCCCGGACCGCGAATTCCCTGCTGAAGTTCGGCGGTTACTCAATGGGTTCTTTGCGGATTTGGCCCAGAGGGCCCGAAAAATTGATCTCAGAGCAGTGCTGCTCGGGTGAGGCTGAGGACAGGGCTGTTTAGGTGCAGATTGTTGTTGGCACTTCCATTCAAATGCATGTTTGATTATTCTTCCAAGTTTTTGGTGGTTGTGAAGCTGATGAAAGTTGAGGAACTGGATGTACCTGTACTTGACGTTGTGCTGTTTGCACACTTAAGTGTTGAATGAGCTGTGCTTGACTTCAAGTGCACAGAGTATGTTGGGTAACGCAACGTTTACAGAGTTTTTGATTCTGCTTATGGATGAAATTGCACAGGGCATCAAGAATGCTCCAGAACAAACTCGTACTTGATTCAGATGCCAGCTGCATCTGTTGAGTAAATTGCATGGAGGCTGACAGTGAGCAATATGTTTTTCTGTCCCTACTGATATAGGATCCACATGCCCATTGTACACAGCGCTGGATGCACAATCCCACATATGTAGCATAGGAGAAGTGCATTTCATGGGCTGGAAAGGGTAGATGCTTGGCACTCACGACGTCCAATGGGGTTGTGCTGTAGGGAGCTGTGCAATTTGTTTTCAGATTACCTTGATCTCTATCGGACCACAAAAGTGGGTGTGGGCCTTGTGCACGAGGGTCATTTGACGCCAGCAGCCAGGGATAGGGCATTCCAACTGGAGATGAGGACTGAGAGCACGCTGCACCCAAGTTTCCACACGCGGGACGGTCACTACAGGGTAGGCAATGGCAGCGCATAATCCTTGTGTTCGTTGCCTCCACCGGTTACAGATCAGACTTGGGCCCTTGCCGACAGGCAAATGCTGGGTGTTCAACCAGACTGTGATGGCTGAATAGCTGTTTCCATTCACACTCATGCACTATAGCCTTCGGCTCCTGCTTCGCCCATTGTTCAGAATGCAAAAATGCTTTTCCAAATGTTGACTGAACCTGTCCTGCAACAGGTGATCCGGGGCATCGCAGAGGGCATTGTGTCCCACTCGGTGTCCAAGCTGGATCTTGACCGTCCCTACATCAAGGCACTGGCACGGGAGCTCATTGCAACGTGCGTTCTGAGGCCCGCTATAATGTACTTCAACCCATACAATGCATCTAGGGTGCGTTGTCTGAAGGCTCCTATTTCTCTGGACAATGGCAGCAGCACGGGATGTGAGCTTGTCCATGCTGTTCGATTTGGTGGCCTCTGTCTTTGTTGGTCAAAAACATTGCCTATACTCTTGAATAGAAATGCGATGTTTGCAGTTGTGTTCAATGAAAGTGAAATTGTGGGAAAGTAGCTGTGTATTGTCAGTTCTGCTGAGTTGCGAAATTTTCAGTTGTGAGTAAGTTGTGAGCATGTGATGCTATTGTTAATTCAAACTGTGGCACTGTCTCGTGCGGATTTCTGTGAATCGGGTGTTTTGGTCTGCTGCTGTCTGAATGCATTCACTGGTACGATTGGCCTGTTGACTTTGTTTGGGACTCTGGCAGATCGTCTTGTCGTTGTATCCGGAAGAACTGGAACAGATCCAGGCCAAGATTTCAAAGAGGATGGAGGAGATGGTCGGCAAGAAAGACCTAGCCGATGGACATTTCGAATTTGAGGAGCGTGCAAGAAGGGCGGCAGAGTTGGAAGTGTAAGTCATGCAGTGTGCATGAATCAACATGATGTGCAGTTGTCAAAGCATGAAAATGCACTGCCCATGTGCCTACCAGGATATGCACGATCATGCAGTGCAATGTGGGACACTCAGCGGCTGTGTCGAAGAGAAGATGCTGGCCATGGGCTGTGAAAGCTGTTGGCTTGTACTGCCTCTGGGGACTTAGCTTGATGTCATTCTGGCAGGTGTGCTGTATCTGTATGCACTTTTCAAGTGTGAGTGGTGGCTAGGGTTGTGCCTGACTGCTGACTGTTGTTTTATCAACAGGAAGGCTCACAAGAAATCCAGGCACAGAGCCAGTGGGATTCCGCTCCACCACCGCAAGGTGTGTTGCCAGAGATAGGCTACTGCACAGTCTGCAGTGCATGGATTTTAGTCACAGCGTGCAGTGTCAAGACACAATCACAACAGGAACGTGGTTTGCTGTGTCTTGTTCTTGTGCAGCAACCCAAGAACCTCATAACATCTTTTCAAAGACAGAGATGGAAGTGACAGAGAAGTGTGACACCAGGGTGCCCACATTGCACTCTGGACATACAATGCTGGGCTCTGCATTTTGTGGCTGTGGGTGATGACGCCAAGCTTGTGGTTGGCCTAATTCTTTTGCGACGGTGTTTGGGTACTGTGTCTGGTGTGCTGAACTTGCTACAACCAATTGTGTGGCATCTACCCTCAGAATGGCACGTCGATTGACCAGTATTTGACAATATGGTATGGATCACCCAGGAAGCCAGTTCAGCTGAGGATTCAGGCGCTGAAGTGCCACTCATGGTGGGAAAGCCCCGCATCTTGGATTCACCCCATGAGGGCGAATACCCACTGAATGCTGAGGATGCATCCTGGAGGGATGACATTGCATCAGAGGCGAGCTCAGCCATCACTGAGCAGCGCTCGGTGGCGTCTGAGCCACTCAGCTCGGCATCTGCCTTCTCCCCAACTCTGCAGTCAAGCGCTTGCAGGTGGGTAGTTTTGAGTCCCCCCTCTCTTGGGAACACAAACCATGCCTGTTGTCACCTGCAAGGTGCAAGGGCACCGGCCTGTCACATCAAGTCGAATGTCATCCAAGGCAATGTACAAAGTGCTTGAAGGGACAAATTGTCATACTAGTATCAGTGTTTGGTTCTGACAGCATTCTGATGTTATTTTCATCCCTGTTGCGTGGTGTGTTATAAGTGAGTTGTATTGTTATTGCGCTACAGTAACATTCAGTTGTGAAATTTACACAATTGTTGACGCACCTAAGTGTTTTTGCATCGCTTCAACTGCGCATTGGAATGGGGTCCAAGTTTTCTAACGTGATGGAAACTATTGTACAAACACGCAAGAGCAACAGCAAAAAATATGTTGCATATCTCTGTGTACAGCACAGCATGAGCTCAGTTGTGGAGTGGAGGGCTGACCGTATTGGCTGCTACCAGGGCATCGGATATTGCACTGTCAGGTCGTGCTGGCAGCCCTCCAGTGCCAGTGCTTGGGCCTCCAATGGATTCATCGTCCAGCTTGCCATTCTCGAACTTCGAGATGTCAAATGAGGGCCCCTCCTCATTTGTTGGGTGGCCCCGAGCACGGGTGGTGGCGCCAGAATTCAAGGTGGTGGGATCCAAAGAGTACGTGGTGTTCAAAATCAGGGTGGCAGACGATGAAGGGGAATGGACTGTGGCCAGGAGGTGAGGGTGCAATGTAACTTGGCAGCAGCGCTTGCACCATTGTGCATTCCTGCATCATACTGCCTTGTGGTGTAGTGTTTATATCAAATGTGCAGCTGGTATCAAGGGGTCCTTAGGTCAGGAACATCTGTGCAGCCAAAGTGTGTTGCACAGATCCCAGATTGCAGAACTCCTGATCTCAAAATCGAACACTTCTCAACATGTGGGCCACTATTTGTAGCTTCACATACCCGCTCCCTTTCTTGTGACATTGCAAAGGCCTGCAGCTCATCTGTTGGGATGGGAATGTCAACCTGTTGCTTACAGGCTATGTGACATGGTTTGGATTGCAGAAACACATTCCTGCCACTTGCAACCCTGTGGCACTAGTGCCAGGACCAGCCTTTCAGACATGTGCAGTCCTACTCTCTTCTGCAAGGACAGGGGTGTCCCCTACTTTGTGTTGTAGCATTTTTGAGTACTGAAGATGAGAAGGTCATTGTCAAGTATTCTTTGCCACCAGTTGCACTTGGTGCACAGCATTCAGTACTTGGTACATGGTATTTGATACTTGAAGTACCTGCCAAGGAATCAGTGTTTTGGATTCAAATAAGAAAGGTGGTTGGTGCTTGGCGCTTTGAACAATTGGGTAATGAGTTAGGGCCAGTGAGCGTTCTGTTGCTCTTAACCCTGCATTGCTGTGAGCACTGGATCGTTTGTGGAAATGGTGCATTACCACTTCTGCCTTGTGCTGCTGTCCAGAACACAACTCCAGTGGAAGAGGGGATGGTTTACTGTGAACAGTAGCAATCTGCACCACTGGTCTATGCACCTCCAAGATTGCTTGCAAAGCCAGTTCCATTTGGGTGTACAAATTGTGTTCCCCCATACACATTCTTTTGCAAGACAACTTGACAGTTTTGTGTTGGTGTCCTGTAGTCCAGTAGTGCTTCGACTATTGAATTAGCCATGACAGCAAAACAGTTGTCAGGGCCTGCACCTCCTCTCCCATGCTTGCTTGTGCAAAGCATGTGCTCCAAGCAGGCTGATGTACAGTGACTACTGGTGATGAATGCATCTGGGTGCAGGAGAGCTACTGATTCCCTTATCTCTTGCCGCATATGGAGTGGCGATGTTGTGGCCGGTGCCTTAACTAGCGCAATGGGGGGAGAATTCGAGGCTGTGAAATTTCCAGGCTGCGATGTGTGCCTGTCAGGTACCGAAACTTTGAGGCACTGCACAAGAAACTGCGAGACATCGCTGAATACAGGAACCTGGGTGCCAAGCTGCCCCCAAAGCGTTATCTCCTCCACTTCCAGACAACCGAATTCGTGGAGGAAAGAAGGGTGGCACTTGACAAGTACCTGCAGTCTGTGCTGAGCTCCAGCATTCTGGCGAGCCACCCGGAAGTGCTCAACTTTCTGTGCAAGCAGCACACAAGCAGATACCGGCCAGACGCCGACGTGAGCTTGTTGAGTACAGTGGCGAACAACGCTGATAGTGTTAAGCACAGCCTGAAGACAGCGGTCGAGGATGTGCTTGTTGAAGGTGAACTGATTGTGGGGCAGCAAGGGTGTCATTGGCACTTGCAGACGGGAATGGACACTTGGCCAGGGTTTCCAGTGTGGGGAATTGTTGGGAGGCATCCCCAGGCTGGAAGGCTCAATTTTATGTGCAGATTAAGTTGTTCGTATCAAGCTGCAGTAGCCACACAAGGGTTTCCGCTGAGTTGCCATGGCTGTTATTTGTGTGGGTTAACATTTGGTTGAAAAATACAGTGTGAGTAGATCAGTAAATGGAAAATTGAATTGTATGTGAATAGCACAATAATGGAATGAGTGCAAGTCACGGAAAGCTCATGCACATCAAGTTTGCCCGGCATCTTTGCTTGGGCAGTATTTTGCCATATGGACTGCAAATGCGTTCAAAGCGGGTAGTGCATGCATGGGCATACCAGTCCACAGGATCGAGCATCTTGCCATGGCACAGAAGCACGCGCAGCACCATACCCTCCAAACAGCTGTGGCGGTTGCTGAACGTCTCCAGTGTCCATTGCATGTACAGGGAAGGTTCGGTGGTCTGGGAGGTACAAGTCCCCAGAGAAGCAGCCGGTCCCTTGCGGCCCGCCCAAGGGCAGCGTTCCTCAGGCTAGCCCCAACGAGGCGCTCCACCAGAACTGGAGCACGGGCAACATGCAAGCTCTCCCTCACGTGCAAGTCAGGCAGCAAGACCCCCGCCTCAGCCAAACGGGCCAGCAGAGTGTCCTGTTGTCTCCCAGAGCCTTATCTGACAGCTCGGGGCCGCCTTCGGCAAGGAACACACCTTCGGGGACGCCCAGCCGAGACGCCAGCCCTGCAAGAGCGGGCCGCGTGCCAAGGCTGCCCCTGTCGTCGAGCATGCCAACTGGGAGGTCGGACATGCAGCAGGATTTTGCCGGAGCAAAGGTTGTGGACCTGAAGGCATCAACCACATCGGCCGATGGCTGCCTGCCAGGTACCTCAAAATTTGAAGCAGGCCTTCTTCATCAACAAATTCCATACTTGGCTCGTCAGCTGAAGTGATCTGTTGATCAAGTCGTCAGGGTCGGTGCATTCTTTTCCTGTGTCTGTGGTTGGGGATTGTTGCAGCTAGCCAACCCACTGGTGTTGTTGAGTTGGTGTGTAAAGGCATCACTGCTGAACGTCAAACTCCTTGGATAACCGCTGTCAATAGAGCTGTGAGCAATAACATCAATTGTCGCTGAGGAGGCCACAGGAAAATCCAAACACCATCTGTTCAACTTCCCACCATCATCTGCACACCACCACTGCTTTAGGTTTGCCTATGAGTATTCCTGTGTGGATGTGTGGTTGATTGCTGAAGATTTATCAAGGAGCTGCATTATTTTTCCTGTTCTTCACCCCAACAGGTCGACGGTGTTTCCCCACGGTGTGCTCGAGCTAAAGCGCGTTGTTGCTTCAACCAAAGCACTTCAGTACTTTGTTACTTGGTGCTTCAGGACTGCAGTGCTTAAATACTCCTGTAACTCGGTGCTTATACCACTTTGAGACTCGTTCCTGTGCGAAAGTGCTTGCAATATGGCCCTCGACTACAAGATTGGCACATCTTACAGGTCACATGATTGGCCATTGGAATAACTCACAGCAATAGTAAAAAACAGGTCAGAATACACGTTTTGAAAATCGTGTACTGTGTAACACGACCGCCTGTTTTGACACAGTTTTACACGAAATTTACACAGTTCAAAACCGTGAATTTTGGCCGTTTCTTTACTCTTGCAGGGGCTCCGACTGATTCTTTCTTGTGCCTGTCTGTAGATGCGGCGACCAGGTCGCCTGTAGGGCATGATGCCAGCTTAGGAGGTGGCGGCTTGCGCTCGAGCGAGGTGTACCAAGAGGCGTCCTCCCTTGGCCGCCATCGCCATCCGGATGATGATGACTTTGAGACGGACTGGGACGCCGAGCTTGAGGACTATGCTGGAATCAGCGCCCCGCTGTACCAAGTGGTGGAGCGAGTGTTCGACATTCCAGCACAGAAATTCTTCAGGAGGCAGGTGAGTGATCGAGTAACGAGCTGTCTGTGCAGGGACTGTGGCTCCAATTGTTGTGTGCGTTGTTCCTTATTTTCGAATCCAAAGTGTTGCATCGCAGTTCAGGGTCCAGGTGGTACTCCGTTCTTGCACAAGATATGTGAACCTTGTGCCACCTGCCAAGCGAGTACAAAGCGCTGTAAAGGCCTAAAGGTGGCTGCATCTATGTGATTGCTCAGCCTCAAAGGAGAGAGGTTCGGCAGTTGGGGGGTCCATGGGTTGCTGCTCTTACTGTTCTTTGCAGCGAATCCGACTGCTGACTGCCATGCCACCAGCACATTCAAAGACAACCAATTTGTTTGTTAGAGCCCACCAAAGGCCCAGTCCTGAATTCTTTCTGAGCCGCCCGGTCACAATGCCCCACAGATTAGGAATACGGTTGTGGGTGTGAGTGTGTGCTTGTTTTCATGTATATGACCAATGTCTCAGCGACGCAGTCACCACCTGTGAGGGCAGTGCTTCTGAGAGTCAGCTTTACTGACTATGGAGCATTGTTACTTTTCCAGCACTGCTGGGGATGGCACACGATTACTATGCATCCTTGGTGGCTCACTGTTTTCCAGAATCATGTGAGAGTGTCTCTCGGTGCTGACAAAAGATGGACCAGACTGCTGTGCATTTTGTTGTCCTGCCGAATACCTGATATACTGTATTTGTGGTGCAACGACTTGTCCCTTGTGATTCTGCTTTCTTCGCTCACTGAGTAACAGAAGAACAAAGAGCAACCGAGTCTGGCTAACAGCTCCCGTTGTGTAAACAGGTGTTTCAGGCCGTGCGGCAGCTGCTGTCCTTGCTGGCGGGCGACTTGATCGACGTGTACTTGAAGGAGCAGTTCAAGAGCATGCGCACGGAACACACCATCGCCCGGCTGATCCACCAGCTGAAGAACGCCCTGTGGCCTGGGGGCAAGTGGTTTGGGTCGCTGGGCCCCTTCGCCGAGGCCCGCGCTGCCCTGAACAAAGGAGGGCGGCCAAAGGGTGAGACCAGCGTCCTTTTTGGCAATTGAGACGTGGCACAATGCGCCCTGCCGAGGTGTTAGGTCTTCCTTTGGTTTCAATACATTGCCCAACATTGTATTACTTTACATTGCGTAACATAGGACAACAACGCGGAACGTTACCTTTGTACACAGCGTTACAATATTCTATACGTATCTTAGCAAAAGAGATGTTGGCCTTGTGCCAAAAACAGCGGCTCGCTATTGGCTTAAAGCATCCCTTGTCTCGCGTCCTTGTGTCCAGGCATCGACAGGGACAAGTACTTGGAGCCGCTGCTTCGGCCGCCCGATGAAGAGGAGATGGCTGAGCGCCTCAGGCACAGGCTCATCACCCAGGCCAACCCCGTGTTCACGCGCCTGTTGGGGAAGAGTACCTACCTGAAGGGCATCCAGGATCTGTACGACATGCTGCAGCTCCCCACGTTCATGACGCAGCTGGGCTATGGCGTAGTGGAAATTGTCGTGCTCGCACTGTACCCTGAGTTGGAGGACCTTTTTGGTCGAATACATGATCCTGGCCGCAAGGGATTGTCCTGACAGGCACCTGCGCTGGGCAGCATGGTGTTTTGGCAAATATTCAATTGTATATTAATGGAGGCAGGCTTATAGCAGCTTCCGAGCGTGCGGTGAAATTGGTGGGTGCGTTGGGTTGGAGAATTATTTTGACGTTGGGACGGCTTCGGGATTGTTTGCGTGCAGTTGTGGCTTCGTTGTCACGATTGGGGGTTGTTGGCATTCACGTAGTAGAGGAACGATGCCTTGCTGCCTGCCCTTGCAACGACTATGCTGCAATGGCGCCCGCGATATGTACCACGCCCTTGACGTTACATTGGCGCCGTGCTTTCCCTGTGTGACAGAGCCACTGGGCTCGCAAGTTGACCAGCTCGTGTGGCTGGAGCTGAAGGTACTCGTGCGTCCACATCTGGGATGCCGCACTGGGCCAGACTTCTCGGGCGCCGCACCTTAGATGCTTGTAACCCACAGTGACTCCAGTTCGATTGATCTCGAACCAACTCAACCGCAATGGACTACGCCCCGCTAGCCGACTGGGAACTGTAGGTGGCCAGTGCCCCAGGCCCACAAGGATTACACCTCGCCTTTGGGATGTTGGAGGAAAGGGCTGATGCGACGCTTCCAACGAGCAGGAAGAGCAACAGCAATAGATGTTCGTCGGGCCACCAGGAACTGCAAAACATGCACTTGGTTTGCTCCCACGGAGTCTTGCAGTGGATCAAATGCCACCCATAATGGAAGGCACTATGTCGAAATTGTTATGCTTAGCGTCCATTTTTTTTTTCGGGGGGGGGGGGGGGGCTGTGGCGCTGAGATTACGTAATCGACACAATTTCGACATATTGAGGGAAGACAGACACACGTCGTTGATCCAAGGCAGACAGCTCCTTCCCAACAACCCCTCAAGCGTTCAAATTTGAATGAAGACCCCAGAATACCCCAGTAGGCAGCCATCGTGGCTGCCCCTGTCACCCGAAATGGCCTTTGCCGTCCCGGTTTTCAGCGCAATACGATCGCTGCAATTCTGGCTGTTTATGTTCCTTAAGCTCACCTGGAAATTGTCCAGCGCTGTTACGTAAGTTTGCGGTGTCATCCTGGCATCGATGTAACGATTGACGCTGAGGGGGGTCTGGACTTAACGTCAAATTGACTAAGCGTACATACTAAGCGTACCAAAATCGACATAGCGCCTTCCCTAACATGATGACGCCCATCATCAAAAGCACGACACGGGGCCCAACCGTGGCGCCTCGGGCCTCACCCTCAACGTCTTCTCCATTGCACGAGTTGGACACGAGCCAGTTTGGTCAGCGTTGAACGCCTTGGTCGCCTTGCAGTGTGCTCTCGAAAGGATCCCCTGCAGCCGGGAGCACATGGAGCGCTCCCCCGCGTTGATGACTTCACCCACGCCCACCCACATGTTGCGCGCAACGCAATCCATGGCGCACGTGGACATATCAAGGCGGGGGTGTAGGGGGTGGGGTCAAGGAGGTGGGGAGATGGCCCGGACCAGGACTGCCAGTCGCCTCCGGTGTGCTTCCGGGGTACCCTTGGCTTCCGGTTCCAAGGAGTGGACACCGAAGCGGGCGGACGCGCTACTCCCCATGGTGGAGATGTGCGGCAGCAACGGGTAATTCAGAATGCAAAGGCTGGCCCGTTCCAAGTTGGCAGCCATGCCAGGAGTGTGCGTGTTGTGTTGGGCCTCATGAAGAGGCGACTCTCCTCGCCGGCCAGCCCAGCTCCCAGCGACCGCATTTCGGCATTGCACATTTCTACCCTCAACGCCAAATTTGGCCCAAAATGTAGCTTGGCTCTTCCGCGCTCTGTGATAACATCCTGTGGTGGGTTCTCCCAGTCGCTGTTCGCCTGACACGCTTGCTCGGTGCTGGACCTTTCAACTGTAATGCATGCCCATCATGGCCTTTTTGTCGTCGAGGGCAATTTTTAGGGTTTACAGACCGGGCAGTGCTTCCGCAAGGGGAAAGAAAACAAAAAGCCAGCCTTTCGACATGAATTCAAATTCACATCTTGGCTGGGAAACGGAATTCTTGGATTCGCATTCAGGCCGTTTGTTGGACTTGTTCTCTCAGTCCTTATACCCTCCCGGCGGTGTCTTGTCACATTTCGACAAGCATAGCTGAAGGACTCACACACCGCCCGCGTGCCGGGGTAGGGGTTGCTGTGTCTCGCCAGCAGGGAGGTTGACTAATACTTTACTCACGATACAATGCGATGGGGCGATGCCCCGCTAAGACAGAACTTTGTGTTTGGTGGCCACCACGAGCGAGGACTGCTGGCCCAGCCTGTCGGCGGCGTAGTTCTCGTGCATGAACTGCGAATCCACGACGTCCTCCGCGTAGGGAACGAGGTGATACTTGGTGATGGTTTGCAGGCCGCCGTGCGACGTGGCGTCCCCGCGGCTCGTCTTGGCCTGCCTGAAGTTCCACAGAATGGAGTAGGAGCCGCAGGAGGCGACGATCCATCGCTCCTGGCGGCCTGCCTCGGTCACGAAGGTGAACCTCCCGTGCCGCAGTGGCTTCTTCGCCTTCGCTCACAGCGGCGCAAATGTCTCCCGTCAGCAAAAAATTGAACAACAAGAATTGGACAAGAAAAGAAAAATTGAACAACAAGAATTGAATTGGTGAAATCGCGCGTGGATGTAGTGGAAACTCCAACTTACAACGACCATAAATACAGCACTACGCGTGTTATTTGATACTATTCTTACAAATGCATCAGCATTGCTTATTGCCGTTTGAACCAGAGAACCGAAAAGGCATTGCTCCAGCGAAACAGATGAATATCAGTTGTGCCGCTATCGCGTGGTCGTATGTTCAGGACTATGTGTGAGCCATGGCGGCTGAAATGCGACTAGAATAGCAAGAACAGAAAACGAACGCACGACATATGCAGCAGGGATGCAATGCTGTCAACAATGGCAAATAGAATAGCATCGAAAGCGACCAAAAATTGGGTATCCAACACACTAGCAGAAAAAGGACCAAATAACACTTCTGCAAACACGCATAAAACACATTTCATTAAATTTCTGCACGCTAAGAACACAAAAATAACCCAAACCCGTAAACTTTGTACACGTTTGGACACGTGTGATTTGGCTCTTTTTTGCCTATTGACAACCATATGACATGCAGCAAATGTATGGCATGCAATTCAGCGTGGCCACTTGAGTGTGCAGGCCCTCACTTCAATTCAAGTGAACGAATTGCCCCCAACCAGTTGGCTAAATTCATGTCAATGTCGAAAAATGATTCGTGCTCGGCAGCAGTTACGGTGTAGAACATGTTTCCCTGTGCGCATTACACAACAGCGCCCGTGAGCATCCAAGGACAAACAAGCGTGAGTCCCCTGACGTGACCCGTATCACACATACCAGCCTCACTGCATCTTCGGGCTTCAGCCCGAGGAGCTTCGGCCTGGCGGCAATGGACGCGATGGAAGTCTTGAAACCGTCCGCCACCTTGCCAGTATTGGGATTCTTGCAGGATGTCCTCACCAGCACCAGAAACTCGTCCGTGGTGCCCACCACCCACCGCCCGTCGCAGGACACGTCCATCTCCGTGATGCCGGGCCCCAGGGGCGGCAGCTGCGTGGCGGCTCGCGTCAACTTCAGATTGTTGTTGTACAGTCGGATCTTCCCGTCCTCGGACCCAACAGCCACGCAGCCGTCCCCAGATGTTGCCATGCATGTGAACTTGGTGCCTTTCGAGTAGTCCTTCCCGCCTATGTAATCTACTACGGGGTCCTTGCTCATCTCCTGCACCACGCCGTGTGGGTCTCGCAGGTCCCATCGGCACAGCCGGTTCGTGTCCAGGCCAAGGAATGTGGAACGGTCGTCGGCCTGGGCGCCCTTGGACTCTGTCACGATTTCCTTCATCTGGACGCCTGTGCCGTCCTTTTGGAATTGCCACTCGGAGACCACTTTGCCCGTCTCGATGTCGGCGCTGCACACCGTACCGCTCCTGTCCTTTCCCAATATGTTCATTTTCTTCTCGCCCTGGGGAATGGACAGGAGGCGGAGGATCTTCAAAAGCTTTCCCGTTTGCATAAGGCAACAAGTTTCTGGGGTATGCAATCCACTTGATTACTTCAAATGTATCTCTTAAGTATGTTGCCACATGTGGGAAGGTGCTGTAATTGCAGCAACAAGGTGATGACAGGCAGTTCTCCAATCCGCAGTGTTTGCTGAGCGTGTTTGTCTTGTCCACCTCACGCTTAGAGATTTGGGCCTGGGAAACTGGTGAGCGGAGCTGGTGATGTGCAACGCCGAATCAGGTAACCCCATTTTGTGTGGAAGTGAACTAAGTCCAGTTATCGCTCTGTCCAGTGGTGGTTCCAGAAAGTGCAGCACACAGGCAGGCATTTCAAGCTGACCCCTCCGTATAGTTCATTATGGATATTGCAATAACTTTGGTGGAGCGCAACGAGAATTTCGACAATCTATAGCAATGAAAACAACACTGATCCGGTACCACACATGCGGTGAATGAACATGGAAGAGAACGAAACGCTTGCCTGTGCCAGGATGGCCTTCACCGGCGTCACAGTGGCGCCACTGGAGCCCGTCAGACGAAATGTGACTGCCTTGTCCTCTACGCCGCCCTCTATGTTTCTCAGCACCTCCACATTGGGGCCAGCCACATAGAAACTGTTGGCGCCGATGCCCATCTTCATGAGCGAGATGGGTCCTTTCCCCTTTGCGATGGCGCGCTGTTGGTCCCTCTGCTTCCCCAGGCTCGAATCACTAGCCTGATTGGGCACAAGCCAGAGATGCGTTCTGTTCAGGATGTAACCGGCAATCCTCTAAATAGAGCTTAGGTTAGAACAGCCGGCAAGACGCTGAGAGCACAGGTTCACGCTCACATCAAGGCGACCTCCGTCATAAATCCTGTCTCCTTAAAGCAAGGATACAATGTGTCGTGAAGTGCCACAATGCCCACTTCTCTTACGTGAGGGCTCCTCCAAGATGTGATGTAACATAATTTAACAAGTGAGAAGGACCG